GTGGAGTAGCTCGGTCTGCAAAATCAAGTCGTGCCCGTAGCTCGGGTCTTAAAAAATTTCAATATGGCCAGTGAAACGACTAAAGGGGAGATTATTTTACTGGTAAACGTGGCTGGGACCATCCAAAGTACCAAGTTCCACATAATCGAAGGCGACGTGAGGTACAATGCCCTACTTGGAAGGCCTTGGATCCACAATATGAGAGCAGTACCCTCGACTCTCTACCAAGTAATGAAATTCCCGACGTCGGACGGCGTGAAAATAGTATACGGGGAGCAACATACTGCAAAGGAAATATTTGCAGTCGATGAGGTAACACCGATATCAACACTCTCAACCTCGAAAAGATCGAGCATTAAAATTAAACGAGAAGTCAAATAGCAATCACAGCCGTCAGTCTCGACCGAATCAAGAAAGCAAGAAATGGAAGAAGAGGAGGAGGATTTTCTGACACCTCGAACTTTTTTCACCCCCGAAGATTCTGACGCCACCAAAACAACGATCGAGGAACTGGAACAGGTTATATTGATCGAGCATCTACCCGAGAAAAAGGTATACCTGGGAACGGGATTGACTCCCGAACTCAGGAAAAAACTTATCCAATTTCTTATTAATAACATAAATTGTTTTGCTTGGTCCCATTTAGACATGGTAGGAATCCCACCGTCGATAACAACGCACCGGCTGAGCTTGGACCCTAGGTTCAAACCGGTGAAGCAAAAAAGAAGACCTCATTTCGGATAAAGCACACATTTGTAAAGGACGAGGTAACTAAATTTCTCAAAATAAGGTCAATTCGGGAAGTAAAATATTTGGAATGGTTAGCCAATGTAGTTGTAGTCCCTAAAAAGGGGAACAAACTTAGAATGTGTGTAGATTATAAGGATCTGAACAAGGCGTACCCCAAAGATTCTTTTCCATTGCCTAACATCGATCGCATGATCGATGCCACAGCCGGCCACGAGATCCTTACTTTTCTCGATGCCTATTCCGGATACAATCAAATTCAAATGAACCCGGAGGACCGAGAAAAGACCTCATTTATTACCAAATATGTAACATAATGTTATAATGTGAGGCCCTCCGGGCTAAAAAATGCAACAGCTACTTACCAATGCCTAGTGAATAAAATGTTCGAAGAAAAAATAGGTAAGTCCATGAAAGTTTATATTGATGACATGCTAGTTAAGTCCCTATGTGTAGAAGACCATTTGACTCATTTGTAGGAGACGTTCGAGATTTTAAGGAAATATAACATAAAGCTCAACCCCGAGAAATGTGCTTTCGGGGTTGGTTCGGGCAAGTTCCTTGGCTTCATGGTATCAAATCGGGGAATCGAGATCAACCCCGATAAAATCAAGGCCATCGAAGACATCACCATCGTAGATAGTGTGAAAGCAGTGCAGAAGCTAACCGGACGGATAACTGCCTTATGCCGGTTTATTTCGAGGTCGTCGGATCGAAGCCACAGATTCTTCTCTCTACTCAAAAAGAAGAACGATTTTGCCTGGACTCCGAAATGCCAACAGGTATTAGAATAATTGAAGCAATACCTGTCGAGCCCACCACTGCTTTACACTTCGAAGGCAGATGAGAAACTTTACTTATACTTGGTGGTATCGGAAATCGCGGTAAGTGGCGTCCTAGTTCAAGAAGAGCAATGTATGCAATTTTCTATTTATTATGTAAGTCGGACCTTAGGAGAAGCGAAAACTAGATATCCTCACTTAGAGAAATTGCCACTTGCACTGATAAGCGCCTCTAGGAAGTTAAGACCATACTTTCAATGTCACCCCATATGCGTTTTTACTACTTACCCACTTCGTAATATTTTACACAAGCCCGAACTATCGGGGCAATTGGCCAAATGGGTTGTCGAACTCAATGGGTACGATATCGAATATCAACCCCGTACGGCCATCAAGTCTCAAATTTTAGCGGACTTCATGGCCGATTTCACGCCAACCCTCGTACCTGAAGTTGAAAAAGAACTCTTGTCAAAATCGGGTACAATATCAGGGGTTTGGAACCTCTTCACAGATGGTGCTTCGAATGCGAAGGTGTTCGGACTTGGCATTGTGTTGAAACCCCCCACGGGTGGCATTATTCGGCAATCTATCAAAACTTCTAGGTTGACTAACAATAAGGCCGAGTACGAGGCCATGATTGCAGGTCTCGAGCTAGCTAAAAGCTTGGGAGCAGAAGTCATTGAAGCCAAATGTGACTCTTTGCTAGTGGTAAACCAAGTAAACAAAACCTTCGAAGTTCGAGAAGATAGGATGCAAGGGTATTTGGACAAATTACAGGTAACTTTGTACCATTTCAAGGAATGGACTTTACAACATGTGCCTCGAGAACAAAATAGTGAGGCCGATGCACTTGCAAATTTAGGGTCATCGGTCGAGGAAGACGAGATCGACTCAGGGACTGTCGTTCAACTCTCGGGATCCATAATCGATGAGGGACATGCCGAGATAAATTCTATAAGCTTAACCTGGGATTAGAGGAATAAGTATATTGAATACCTGAAGAACAAAAAACTCCCATCGAACCCTAAAGAATCAAGGGCCCTACGAACCAAAGCTGCTCGATTCACGCTGGCTGAAGATAGAACACTATACAGAAGGATGTTCGATGGACCATTGGCAGAATGCTTAGGACCAGGAGACACCGATTATGTTTTACGAGAGGTCCATGAAGGTACTTGTGGAAACCACTCCGGTGCTGAATCACTGATTCACAAAATCATCAGGGCAGGATACTACTGGAATAGTATGGAAAAAGACACTAAGGAGTTTGTTCGAAAATGTGATAAATGTCAAAGGTTTGCACCGATGATCCATCAACCCGGAAAGCAACTTCATTCAGTACTATCCCCATGGCCATTCATGAAATGGGGGATGGATATCGTCGGCCCCCTACCATCGGCCCCAGTTAAAGCTAAGTTCATTTTATTTATGACTGACTATTTCTCTAAATGGGTTGAAGCATAGGCGTTCGAGAAAGTGAGAGAAAAAGAGGTTATAGATTTCATCTGGGATCACATCGTGTGTCGATTTGGGATACCCGCAGAAATAGCATGCGATAATGGTAAGCAATTTATCGGCAGTAAAGTAACAAAATTTCTCGAAGACCATAAAATAAAAAGGATATTGTCAACACCGTACCATCCTAGTGGGAACGGACAGGCAAAATCGACGAACAAGAATATCATCCAAAACTTGAAGAAAAGGTTGAACGAAGCTAAAGGGAAATGGAGAGAAATTCTGCCCGAGGTCCTTTGGGCATATCGAACAACATCAAAATCCAGTACGGGGGTAATTCTGTTTTCCTTAGCGTATGGCTCCGAGGCCTTAATTCCAGTCGGAGAACCCAGCCCAAGGTTTTGACATACATCGGAGGAATCGAACCACAAGTCTATGAATACTAGCCTCAAATTATTGGATGAAAAACGAGAAGCGGCACTTGTTCGAATGGCTGCACAAAAGCAACAAATCGAAAGGTACTACAATAGAAGAACCAACCTCCGCCACTTCAGGGTAGGAAACTTAGTCCTAAGGAAGGTCACCATCAACACTCGAGATCCTACTGAAGGAAAGCTCGGCCCGAATTGGGAAGCACCCTATCAAGTCCTCGATATAGTCGTAAAAGGGTCTTATAAACTCGAAACGATGGATGACAAACCATTACCAAACAACTGGAACATATCACTTCTTAAACGATATTATTGCTAAGGTATGATTTTCTCCCTCCTTTCGTCCATATATGTTCGACGCTAACACATTGTAGGAGTTCGACCAAAGACATCGAGACCTCAGGTTTTAAAGTACGCGTTCCACTCTTTTTCCCTGAGATCGGTTTTTATCCCAACTGGGTTTTTCCGACGAGGTTTTTAACGAGGCAACAACTATGTGCTACCTGAGTACAATTCAACAGTATCCAAGGCCTCCTTACAGTCAACCTCGAATACTGGGGGGCTTTACCATCAAATAAATCAAGTTCGATACAAGAAAGTTATTTCATATCAAATTCATGTCAGACAGGGTCTCGATAGAGAAAAGTGTAAGGGCAAATGGTCAAAACGAACCATGCCCACATAGTTTTGCTCGAGTCTGATGCAAAATACGAACACATGTATAATGACTTATAAAGGAAAAACTTCTTCTTTACCGGTATCTCATACTTTGAAAAGTTCATTCTACTTCATGATTCAAACAGGCTTAAGGGCCGACCACTATCGAGTTCGAGCAATAACTCACTCGACTATTAAGCCTAAGGGCTATCTTACTTCGAGTTCGAGAAATCACTCACTCGACCATAAAGCCTACGGGCTGCAATACTTCGAGTTCGAGTTCAAGCAATCACTCATTCGACTATTAAGCCTAAGGGCTATCTTACTTCGAGTTCGAGAAATCACTCACTCGACCATAAAGCCTACGGGCTGCAATACTTCGAGTTCGAGTTCAAGCAATCACTCATTCGACTATTAAGCCTAAGGGCTATCTTACTTCGAGTTCGAGCAATCGCTCGCTCGACCATAAAGACTATGGGCTACAATACTTCGAGTTCGAGTTCGAGTTCAAGCATTTATTCACTCGACTATTAAGCCTAAGGGCTATCTTACTTAGAGTTCGAGAAATCACTCACTCGACCATTAAGCCTACGGATTGCAATACTTCGAGTTCGAGCAATCACTCACTCAACTATTAATCCTAAGGGCTATATTATTTCGAGTTCGAGCAATCACTCACTCGACTATTAAGCCTAAGGGATACTTTACTAAAAGTTCGAGCAAACACTTACTCAACTAAATCCTCAAACTTATGAACATTTTCATAAGACACAAGTAAAACAAAATCTTCACTAGGTAGAAAAGAAAACAGAGACAAGTTGGAAAAGAAAAGACCTTTATATATATGTTTACAAAACGTCCGATCAGGACCTTACACGAAAAGATCAAAATAAGTAAAACCCTAATTATCTACGGGAGCAGTCTTTTCTCAATCGGGCTCCTCCCCACTCTGAGACCCGCTCTTGCTCCCATCACCGTCATCGTCATCGTCATCATCATCATCTTCATCATCATCATCAGAGGCCAAGGCTCCAGCATCGGCTTCACGCACTTTTTCCTTTGTTATATCTTCAGTAAGATCGAAGCCTCGAGCATGGATCTCCTCGAGGGTTTCCCTCCGATATTGGCATTTGGAAAATTTGGCAATCCAATGTGCTCGAGTTCGAGCGGTCTTGGCTAATTCTCTCGCATGTGACTGAGCAGCCTCAGTATCAGCCCGATAAACAACGACAAATGCATCTACATTGACCTTTGTCTTTTCAGCCTTGGCAAGTTCAGAAGCCAACCGAGCCTCGAGCTCCTCTGTTTTCCTTGCTTGAACCAAGCTTTTCTCCTTCAGACTTTGAAGTTGATTTTCGGCCGATGATAATTGGGCTCGAGCAGCCTCTTTCTCTGTAGCAAAGCGGTCCATATTTCCTTTCCATTTCAAGGACTCCACCTTTATCACATCGACCTCCTCACGGAGCTTCCTGATCATCTCAAGCTTCTGCTGCAGCTATGAGGCCGAAAGACTAGCCATCGTTCCAGTATCGAGTCCATAGGCTTTTAATAGTGTCATTACCTGCTCGGACAGATCGGTCTGATCTTGGTGAGCTTTGGCCAACTCAGCTCGGAGGTCCTTGATTTCTTTTCCCCTTTGCCCTAAGAGGAGTTTAAGGGCATTCCTCTCCTCCGTGGCCCGTTGGAGATCGGCCTCATATCGACGCAGCTCAGCTTGGGATCGAGAACATGCTTCTCGATGAGCTACCACGGCCTACAAAGAAAGAAGAAACAAAGTAAGAAAAGAAAAACAGACATAAGAGATAATACCAACAAAATAATTTAAGGCTTACCTGATTCAAAGCCTACTGCACTCCATAAAAAAGATCAGATGCATCACTAGTGTCGGCAGCATCCTCGACACTGGTAAATAGGTCACAAAAAAGATCCTCTCTATCATGAGGCCTGTCTAGTTCGAGGCCCCCAAAGCTTGGGCTTCGCGAATCGCCCCTTCGAAAAAAGCAGGGAAGGTGGGTGAGTCTTCGATTGCTATTGCCCCAAGTGAGTCACTTGGGGCATTCTCTTCGGTTCGAAGAGATTCAGGGAGAGCCCCTTCAGACATATCCCCCATATGTTGGTTTCGATGGGAAGCATCCTCGATCTCCAATGACTCGGGGACTCTGCCCGAATCTTTCTCCGATATATCCTCAGTTCGAGGCAGAGCCTTATAAACCTCCATCGATCTAGCTGCCTATGGAACGTCAATGGTCTTCTTCGATCGGGCCACCAGTACGGACCCGTCGTCTTCCTCTTCCTCGTCTTCATCCTCCCATCGGCCCTTTTCCAAATCACGCCACGAACGTTCGGCGTATGTAGAGGTCGAACCGGGCATCCAAGGAATCGCTATATCACAAAAGAGATATCGGCAAGAAAGAAACAAAGAGACAAGGCGATAGGGAATAAGCAGCAGAATTACACTTACGCTTCATATTTCATTCACGAGGAATGGCATCTTTTCGGCTGGGATCAGGTCCGAAGTCTTCACTCAAATGAACCTGCCCATCCAACCTCGATCCTTTTCCTCATCTATGCTCGAGAATAGTACCTTGGTAGCCCGGCGTTGAAGTTTTATTAATCCACCTCGAAAAAGGCGGGGACTATACAATCTAATAAGATGATCGAGGGTGAAAGGCATCCCCTCGATCTTACTTGCAAAGAAACGGATCAGGATAACGATCCGCCAAAAGGAAGGATGAATCTGACCTAGAGTTATTCGGTATTGATGACAAAAATTGATGATAACATGGTCGAAAGGTCCTAACATAAACGAGTAAGTATACACACTAAGGAACCCTTCCACGTGGGTGGTAATATCCTCATCGGGAGCCGGAATTACCATTTCCATGTTATCCTAGTTACAATCTGCCTTTAACTGCGCAATTTACTTTTTGGTTATCGAGCACAAATACCTCGATATCGGCTCACACCGTCCGGGAACCAACGATCCCTTATCGACCTTAAAATCGGAGTGAGAAGATGCGTTTCGAGAACAAACTCCTCAGGTCATGGCTCCACCGGTGTTTTATCGGCGGCGGGCTGTGAAGAAGAAGCCTCTTCTTTTTGAGGGACGGTTTTTTATGTTTTCACTATTTTTTGAATTTAGAAGAAAGAAATAAAGAAGATATGGTGTTTCAAAGAAAGATTTTGCAATAAAAACCACAGAAGGAAAATTTCGCACTTAATTCAGAAGGTATGAGAAAATGCTTAGGAAATCTTGAGATTAGAAGATGTAAAAGTGATTAATGGTGAAAGAAGGGGATATTTATAGGTTGATCAGTGGCGGTCCAATATCGATAATGGTCGACCACCGTTTGACGCGCATTAAATACCTCGGTAAACTGAACCGATGGGACAACTATCGTGTACTTCATGATCGGATTCGATGCACACGTCAGTATATATCTAATCATACCGTTGGAAAATTATATCATTTCTCGTTACATTCTTCCCGAGAAACGCGGGGACTATCTGTATACGGTCAAAACTGATTAGTCCATCGTACGGACTGGTCGGTGTGATAATACTTTGATCGAAGGGTGGCTTCGTAATACCAAGTCGAGGTCCGAAGTCAGGTCATCAAGCTTCGAGTTCTAGGACCAATCAATGACAAGCTCGGTATCATTATCGAGCTCGTATCCAAATCGAACTACGGGGTGAGGCGAAATTATCGATCCTAAGATACATAGACCTACAGACACCGACCCCGAATCAATACCAGACTCCGAGTCAGAATCGAGCTCGAGTCAAGATCGAGCTCACAGACAAGAGTCGTTGCAACCACACTAGGAGAGAGAATCCTGACAGGAATTAGGGAAAAGCTAGTTCTTCATGGGTTCCCCACTATGTATTTTTTATTATATCTAAAATAGGATTCATCCACTATAAAGGGGATGATTGTTGTTTCTGTGAGGGGACATTCAGATATTGTAACAAAAGATTATTCCTTATATTGAAAGATCATTCCTTTGAGCTCTCTTACTTCATCTTATCTGGTCCATTTATTTCTTTTTTTCAACATTTTTTATCATTCGTTTTTATAGTCAAGATTGAATAATTCTATTTCTTTTTACGATTTGTATTAAGCTATACCACATACCCTTAGAACTACGTACAAATTCAACTCTATCTAATTTTTCGGGTAAACAGTTATAATATATGCATGTCTACTGAATTATGTGAGCTAAAAAACTGATCTTCTTTTAATTGTCGGCTAGTTACTCTCATTTCTTTTTTGGGTGGGTTAGTCCTTGATTTGCTAATAAGTTCATAGAATAGTCTGGCGCATCCTAAGTTCATAAGTAATATAGTGACTATAGTCATGTCCACTGAAAATGTGAGCTAAAAGCTTTATTTGCTTTTAATTCTCTGCAATTTTCCCTCTTTCTATTGGTGGGTAAGTCCTTGATTTGCCTTGTTGGTCCATTTAACAGAACACTTGCCGTTTTCAAAGGCCTTTCGAAGCCTCTACATTCTTAGCTTTATCTCTAGGTGTTTGAAATGGGAAATCCATCATATTATAGGTTGGCCATTTTGGGAGTTGTGCTTCAGAACTTGACCATCTGTTTGGCAGAAAATGTCCCTGCTAATTTTGTCTTTGGAGATTCATTGGTTGATGTGGGTAACAATAACTATATTGCTTCTCTTTCAAAAGCAAATTTCTTCCCAAATGGTATTGATTTTGGGGGTCCAACAGGAAGATATACAAATGGAAGAACTATAGTGGACATTTTAGGCAGTTTAATCTTGCTGAAAATCTCTTCCTTTGTTTTTTTTGGAAAATGTCTGCCTTTTATGTTCTTTTCACTTCCCTCTAAACTATGAGCTTCTGAGCTTTTATAAATTTTTTTCTTCTTATTTTGGATGATTTTATTTAAATGGACGCAGGTGAGGAAGTGGGATTTAATTTGACTCCTCCATACTTGGCCCCAACAACATCTGGACCAGTGGTTCTGCAAGGTGTCAATTATGCTTCTGGCGGAGGAGGCATTCTTAATGAATCTGGCCAAATTTTTGTAAGTCCTTTAATTTTCCCTGATTTTTATTGGTTGTTTAGCTTGAATTTTTCCTTATTATTCTCAATGGTTTTGTAAATATCCGTATCTAACACTTGCAAAACGTGGAAAACGTGTTTTTTTAAAACTTTTTAGGCATGTATTGCTTAATTGATTAGGTGGGTTATTTCGATATGAATTTAGGATTAAATTTATCCATATTTGATTGGAGGTATTAGTTATTACTAGTATTGTTTTTATATCAAAATCTTGATATAACTTTGTTTATTCGAAAAATCAGATAACGTTAAATTTGTGTATGGTTCTAAGGATATATAATACAATTTGATACAAATCGTATAGAGAAATAGAAATATTTGTGTTCTTGGCTATGAGAATGGGAATAGTGAGCAAAAGAATGAATAAGGTAAAATAAAACAAGCATGGGGAGATATCTTTCAATATGAGAAGTGATCTTTTTGTTACAATGTATTCTGCCTCTCTGTATGCTTACAAGGATTCCCCCTTTATAATAGAGGGATCCTACTTTATTTATAATAAAATAAAGCATATAGTGGAGGACCCATGATGAATTATTTCTTTCTCGATTCCCGCCAAGATTCTATCTCTTAGTGCGGTTGTAACGACTCTTGTTTGTGAGCTCGACACTGGCTCGAACTTGTTATTGGGTCGAGCCCTCGGTTTTGGCTTGAGTTCGACCTCCGGGTGGGCGTAGCGCATTCCTGACCTCGAAGCAATACCTTGGGGATCGATTTGGTCACGGGCTCGATAAAAGTATTGAGTCGACTCCTCGATCAGCCTTCGGACTCGAGGCTCATTTGTACTGCCTTTGGAACTCATCCTAAAATCCCACTCCGGTTGCTTATCATTCGAACTCGATCGAACGTAGGAAGGCCGAAATCTATTTCGACCGTATACAGATAGTCTCCTCGATTCTCAGGAAGGATGTGGTGAGAATCGATATGATCTTCGACGGTTCGATCGGGTTATAAGCTGACGTTTGCACAGGGCTCGATCATGGCGTATGTGATAGCTGTTCCATCGATTTAGTCTTTTCAAGGTATTTAATGCATGTCAGACGGTGGTCGGCCACTTCTGATATTGATCAGTCACGATGCAAGCCTATAAATAACCCCTTCATCTAACATTTACCATTTTTACGTCTTTCACTCTTCCAAACTTTCTTACCATTTCTCTCTATTTCGCCGCTTGCAGAGCCATCTACATCAACTTTTCATCTTTCTTTGCCTTTCTTTCTCTCATATCAATGGCCAAAACTTCGAAAACCGTACCTCAGAAGGAGAAAGCTTCTTTTTCACGGTCATCCGACGGCGGAGCCGCCTACCTACGAGTATGTTCCCGGCCCGTGTACTCTGAAGATCGATTTTAAGGTTGAGAATCCTTCATCTGTTTCGGGTCGATGTGAGCATGTGTCGATGTACATGTGCTCGATAACGGAGGGTCATCTCGAGGCTATGAGGAAAGACTGCAACTGGGGTTCCGAGGTCGTGTTGCAAATTCCCTCCCCCCGAAGAGAGCGTCATCACTAATGTGGAGGGATTTTTAAGTGTTTACACTTACCCTTTCACGTTGGGTCCTGTTGACCCGGTGATCATCGATTTTGCAAAAGCTATCAGGTCACCCTTGGTCAAATTCATCCCTCTCTATGGCATATAGTAACCTTACTTCGCTTCTTCTCCAACAAGGCCGGGGGGCTAGAATTTTTCCTGAATCACCTCATACGATTGTATCGGCCTCAAATCTGTCGAGGACTAATCAGGCTTCATCGTCGGGCATCGAAGGCTTTGATGTCGAGCATCGACGAAGACAAGGATCGGGGTTGGATGGGCCGTTATATCCGGGTGAGGACACGTGACCTCATTCCGGAAGAGAAGATACCGTTCCCCGAGGAATGGAATTTTGACCGTAAGTGATTTTCGTAAGATGTTGCTTTTCGTATTTTTTCCCGATTTTATCTGATGTCTTTCTCCGATACGCAGCTGCCCCTTGGATGCCACAAGCGGTACCTGACCTCGAGGATTGGGTTCGGAAGTTAGCTTCGACTTCCCCTTATGCCGAACGTGCTTGGCGTGATTTGGCAAAAGGTAGATGGGAGGCCAAGAATAATGGTAAGTGTTACTTCTCGTGTTCTTTGAAATATTTTGTATGCTCCATTCGTCACCGATTTCCTTTCATGTAAGTGTAACCAAGGATGCCGTTTTGAGGCCTTCGAGTGGTAAAGAAGGAACCAAGTCCCCGGTCCCGGAACCGGGGAAAGATAAGAAGCAAAAAGCTGCCTCTCGGTCAGAGGACCCCAAGCCCAAAACTCGAAGGGTGAGGAGAAAGGCAATCGCTCTTTCGATGGACTCGGTCCAATGACTGAGAGAAGAAGAAGAAGAAGAAGAAGAAAAAGATGATGCCTCGGCTTTGGTGATCCGATCTGCGAATGCTATCGAGGTCGCCAGAGCTTCTGAGACGATGGCGGCTGTACCGGTCGGGGTCGGTTTCGGTACCCCGAGTCTCAATCAGAGCATCCCGAGCGATTCGCTTGGGACCATGAAAGTGGGTTATTTGCCTTCTCTTCTAACCTTTTCTGAGGAGGCGTTAAAGGAGGCTCGAGAATTGAAGACCCCCGATATGGGCGGAGGCTCTAGTGTAGGGGACCCTTTTCGGGATTGCTTTACTGGAGTCGATGATGCCTCTGACATTGGTGATGCTTCTCTTCTCCTAGAAGAGGCCCAATGTTTTATTTCTCGGGTAATGATTTTACTGTACTTGGTTTCTTCGTTCTTTTCCAAACTTGACTTGTGTTCTTTCCCTACTATGCAGGCCATTAATAGGTTTCGAGTCGACCTCAGCCAGTGCGAGGTAGAGCTTCAGAAGGTCTCGGGGGAGAGAGATGCCCTGCGGCTTCTTTGCAGCCAAAAGGACGAG